AAGATATAAGACAGCGGAGAATAGGGTGGAAAGGCAGGCTGCATCTGCTTTTAAGCCACTCATCTGTCAATAACTGCACTATGAAGAAAGGCCTATGGCTACCAGTGTCCAAGTTGAAAAAATACTGTCCAGCAGTATAAATGGTGCCCCAGGGCAGCACACTGCTGTATCTAGATCTATTTGTACTGGTTTTCAAGTAAAGTTGCTCATAGACGTTAGATGATAGTCTCTCTACTCTGACACCAACAGTCGAAGTTTTCCTATGAAGAAGCGATCAGAAAAACATTTGATTATTTTTATTTTCCCCTAATACATGGGCACTGAAGATGAATCTTTCCTTCCATAGGCTAAGCACAAAAGATCTCACAATGCAAAAAAGGAAAGTACATCATCAGTTGTTCATATTTTTCAGTCCTCGCATTTTAGAGGGAAAAAAATGAACAGACTCATAATAAAGGGGTTGTACACATTAGTTAAGGGTATGGCTGGAGTGCCTAGGCCTTTGGTTAAAGTTTGCAGTGCCTCAAAGGTCAGCCGAATAAATACTAAGGATCGTGTTACAAGCGTCAAATCTATGTGGACACTTTAAAATGCCTTTGTAGGTAAAAATAAGAATTGAAAAAAGCATGCAACCTGCTCTCACCTTGACCTTGCTCCGTGCTGCTAGAGCCCGTAAAATTCCTATGCAGGATTCAACTTTCTGAGACAGTGAAAATTTGCACAGGGCTAAGCCAATTCCACCACCATCCAAGTGGCATTATATAGGCCGAATGATCAATTGTTCAGGAACAGAGCACACCATTGTGGGAGGCCAGGACATGGTACATGTTGACCTGGTATTTGTGGAACATCTCGTGGTCCTAGCAAAGCCAGTGTCTGCATAGCCAACGCAAGCCTTGCAAATTATGCCGTGCAGCTTTAAGGTGACAATGCAAGGTGACAATGTGTGCAAAAAGTACTTCAAAAGTTCCAAACCAAACTCTCAGGAAAGAAATCCGATTTTCATTTCCTCTTCCATCACTGACACTACAGAAGCCCTGACAGCCCACAGCCTTCCATTCCCAAATCCAGCCTTGATGTCAGCAGCTCTCTGAGCCACTGCAGTCACAGGCTTTCCTAATGATGTCTACGAGCTTGCACTCACACTTTGACACAGCGGTGGCTCTCTGCACATGAGCCGGATATTGGCCTAGCGCCATAAAAATGACAGCTAGCACTAACTAGGGAAGACAGTAGAATAAGGATGATCTGAAAGAGTAGCTAGGAGGAGGGTAAATTGAAGGCAGGAATAAAACTGCTTGGTGCTAATAGTTAACTTCAGAGGGCAGCGTTTCTTTAATGAGCAAGGCAGAGTTCGATGACATTGTGCAAAGTGATGGAATCCATAGCAAACAGATTTCAATAGAAGGAAAAAAAAGTTTCAAAGCCAATTACACAAAGTTACTATACTGTGCCCTGTCTTGTGAAATAATCCAGAAAATAAATGCTCACACCACCCTGGTACTAATTCCGATCTAGTGTTAAAGGAAACTATGTTATGTTGCCCATCTGTTATGCCGATCCAATGTCACCAACTCGGAGTCACTCACCTGGAACAAGCATACAGATGAGAAGTTCTAACTTAAATCATACTTAAAAGGAGAACTATGAGATGAGTGATTTCCACTCACCTCATAGTTCTAGCCGACCTGTGACAATGAGACTGTCACAGGTCGGCTCAGTAGATCGGGAGGTGAGCGAACACATACCGGCGTTCGCTCACCTCTCGATCCTGTCACGGCTCTCTGCCGTGACAGGGGAGGGGCTGGATTCCCCCCTCCCCGCTCCGATCCGCCAGCGCTGACTGGCGGAACGGACGGGGGAGGGTACAGCTGGCTCTGCCTTTCGATAGCCAGAGCCAGCTGTCAGTCACGCAGCTGGGCGGATCCCGGCACAATTGTCGGGATCCGCTTCAGCTGCGGCGTCTTAGTATACCGCAAGCAGCTGCTCGCGGTATACTGCGGCGTCTCAGTATACCGTGGGCTACAGCTCGCGGTATACTGAGCATAGGGTGACGGGAGGGCGCTAGTTTGTGTCCTCCCGTTACCCTAAGGAGAACTATGGGGAAAAGACTTAACCCCATAGTTCTCCTTTAATTCCAACATACCTGCATCTTGCAGATGTGTATTTCACTCTTGCTGCTGCTACAGATTATAGATTTGATACATGCATGGCACCATCTAGAGAAAAGAGTTCGCTCACCTCTCGATCCTGTCACGGCTCTCTGCCGTGGCGGAACGGACGGGGGAGGGGGCGGGTACAGCTGGCTCTGCCTCTAGATAGGCAGAACCAGCTGTCACTCACGCAGCTGGGCGGATATCGAAGTCGATGTCGGGATCTGCTCCGGCGTCTCAGTATACCGCGAGCTGTAGCTCGCGGTATACTGAGCTTAGGGTGACGGGAGGACGCTAGTTTGTGTCCTCCCATTACCCTAAGAAGAACTATGGGGAAAAACACTGACCCCATAGTTCTCCTTTAATTTGCTGCATGATTGTTCCAGGTCAGTGGCATAGACGGTATTGAACACAGAAGATCAGCATTACTGCTAGGTAACTAGCATTTTTAGGGGCAGCTCAGCAATGGAAGTCTCCAGGTTTTCTCAGCACGTTTCCTTTAAGGGAAAACTAGCACGTCGTTTAAATAGCAGGCTAGTTGCAGGGTAACGTTATTTGCTGTGACACTAGAAGTCAAAGTCAATTGCTTACATATGGTTGCCTTATAACAATAACAGGATGTGAACTGCAATTTCATGTTCCATCCAAATGATGGAAGAAGCTGCTATTTATAGCAAGCACCTCAGCTACAGATGTAACAAAAGCTGCACAAAATGCCTAACGTGACTTAAATCCGACACCAATTCATCAGTTTTTATGACACATGGGCCAAAAAGACTTCCTAAGGGCACAGATACACAAATGATTGTTAACCGATTAGTAAAATGAGATTGCAAATGCCTTACATGTGACACATTGATTTCAATTGCGTTTCAAATGAGAATGTCATTTTCAAGGCCTAAGGTCTATTTCTATGCTGCAGGCGTAATTACTAATAAAACAAGGTGATTTCTTGTATTCTAGCTTAGTAACATCTTCATTGATCTTCATCAATGAGCCTGCTAAGGAGAAAAAAGCCCATGACCAATCACTATTGTTCCCCCTGGAGATAAGCCAGCACCTGCAGCGCTACCCCCTCCCGTCTATAAACAGACATTCAAGTTTCCCAACGTTACCGTGAACATTTGTAGAATATTTGCTCTGTAGTCTGTTCATCTGCTGGAAAATGCATGCATGGCCAGTCTAGTTTCAATATTTTTATGGCACCTTAGTGGACCTGGACTAAAAAAAAAAAAGAAGATTTTCTATATCTTTAGGAAACCTCTAGAAATGTCCATTATGACCTAATGCTCTGAATACCTTCTGAAAAGATAGCAGTGCAGTTCCAAATGTGCCTTGATTCCACGCTGCAGATATAGAGCTATGAGGCTCATCTAAGGCACTTTGACTCTAACTGCATGAGATTTGGTGATGTCACCACTGTACTCCTCTGCAATGCAGTCCTTGCTGATGTACAGTGCAAATATCTCCCTGCTTCTACATTCATTCTGGGTCCTGCACCTTTCATGCTACATCTTAAATATTACCCCACCAGTTATTAGTGGGGCAGCTCTGACATGAGGAAGCAAAGTTCTGCCTATAGCAAGATGGCTGCCCTCACACAAACAAGCAAAACAAATGACACCTTACTGTATAACTGGTGACGAATTGTTGAGTGCGTTTGTCATTTGTTTTGCTTGACTGATTTGGTGCAGTGATGCATGGGGGGTCTCAGCTGCCATTGGGATGTGCGGGATCCCTTGTGCGTTCCTGTGCCTTTAAGGGGGGTTGGGCTTCCTCCTGACAAACCTGCACCCAATTCTAAATCTTCTGCCTCCATGTGCTCCTAGATGGAGACTCTCATAGTTTAGAGTTAGGACCGCACTATAAGAGGTGCCTTGGCGCGGCAGTGCGGCTTACACATTTTCTGCAGAAGACGTGTATCCAAAAGTCTGTTAACCTTAGTGGTGAGACAAGTTTTTTTACATGCTGGCTTGTGAGTGTGCCATGATAACTTTCTACTGCCCTCACAGAGACACATTAGTAAGATAGTAATGAAGAAAATAGCTGCATGTGCTTTTAACGCATACTGTTAGACAGGGTAATTTGTGTTGTTGCAGGCTAGCTGGCAGGTGTGCTGGGGAGTTTTTGTGTTTTGTACCAAAGCTCAGTATATCGCAAGCTACAGCTCATGGTATACTGAGACCGCCGCAGCCGGGACGGATCCTGACATTGCTGTCAAGATCCACCAAACTGCGTGAGTGACAGCTGGCTCTGCCTATCTAGAGGCAGAGCCAGCTGTACCCGCCCCCTCCCCCGTCCGTTCAGCGCTGGAGGATCATAGCGGGGAGGGAATCCCTGCAGGGAGCCGTGACTGAGGGTCACTGCTCTCTGCAGGGAGATGATCGAGAAGTGAGCGTGCGACGATATGTGTTCTCTCACTTCCCAATCTATAGAGCAAATGTGAGACAGTTTCATTGTCACACGTCGGCTCGAACTACGAGGATGAGTGATTTTCACTCGCCTCATAGTTCTCCTTTAATGAGTATGATATACAATTAAATTATAAAAAATAAAGAATCAGAAGAATAAGCTTAATATTTTTAATCAACAAAGCACACGCAAAATAAGTCATACATCATTCTCTCAGCAAATGAAAATAAAATTCAAACAAATGCAAGGAACTGAACAAACAATAGTTAAAATGATCAATACTAAATCTAGGACACACTTTGTGTATTGCAAATGAAACAGGTTGCTGCTGAACAGTCATGTAACAGTCATAGGAAATGGATATTGCAGAAATGTCCCTTTGTTTAATTGTATTTTAAACACAAAATAATAAATCTTGTAAATAGTTTTTTACATGAAAGGTCTGCAAAAAAAAAAAAAAAAAAAAAAAGCGGTGCCGTGACATGAAATTGTGTAACTAAAATGGAAATAAGAGATTCAGTGCAATTATAGAAATAAAATAGTTATGGATCAGCAGATAGGAAGTCTCTTCTGGTTTGGTGAAATCCAGAACTTGAGGAATCTGATGGATCACACTCAGTGCTGATAGGAGGAAGTTGAATAGTACTCATCCTGTTCATGTCTAGAAGTGGAAAAAACAAACAATCATGTATGAATTATCAAAAGACCAAAACCGTATATATAGATCTATATTCACTTTGGCCAAAAGAGTTACCATACAAACTTGTGCCGAGCCACAAAGTTACAGCATTTGACAACATCAGGAAGATTCCAGACTGTACATAATGAATGCAATGTGTGCAGTATTACGGAGCAACTCCAGAGCCAGCCAAAAAAATCTATTTAAAACTAGTAAAACTTTTTTTTTACATGTTAAGAGCGATCTAAATTCCTAATACACAAATTAATTCTCCTAACAGACCTGACAACCAAAATGATGAGTGGTCAGCATATGCCATATGGACCTGTATGGGGAGACGGAGGAAGGAGTTACCGTATGTTAAAGGAGAACTATGAGGTGAGTGCTTTTCACTCACCTCATAGTTCTAGCCGACCTGTGACAATGAGACTGTCACAGGTACACACAGGCGTATTTTCTGCACAATAATAATGTCTGCCCTGCTTTTGTAGCAATATTTATAGACGGAAAAGGATTTATAAATAAATGATTTGTGATTTTCAAGCATAAAAGTGTTAATGGGCCTCTGAATGACAATATATATTTTTGACATCTGCCAGAGGAAGAATTGCTAAAATGTATTTTTAGAGGAAGACTACTGTTATTCTGAAGCCCTTGTGCACTCAGATGGCCTTTTTTAAAGGATGCCATTTATAGTGTGATTATTCCCATTATGTTACAGTGCCAACGCTGATGCATGACCACACCACATTCAATTCAATAAATGTTTGGTGCTCCCCATGCAGTAAAGAGAAACTCTGGAATATTGTGTATATATTTATATTTTTTAAATGAACTACCTACCTTACCTTACATTTTTTTTAATGAATCCCCAAGCTGTGTGTGAAATACTGTACTGCAAATCAGTGAACTTCAACTGAACTGGAGCCGCAGTGGAGGTGTCCATGCACAGCAGGATGGCAACCCAGGAAGAACCTAACCAGCGTGATCATACTCTTAACTAGTAAAATGTGGAAGGAAGTGACACGGTAAGCTGCCAGATTTAAAGAGTAAATTGCGGTGCCACCCTTGGGGCCATGCAGTGTACAGAGCTGTGTAAATCAAAAAACTTGCTGAAGAGAATTAAGATTATGGCAGGCAAAGCAGTTTACACATACATTTTTCTTTCAACTGCACATTTAGCTTCGAAACTGCAATTCAAGATGGCCACGCATGGAGAAAAACTGTACCATGACATGAAGGACCTTGGTGAAGCTGTACAGCTGCCCCACACATAAGTAAAAGCAAAAAATAGCATTGGGAGACCAGTGCTACAGGAAATAGCAACATATTGGATATTTCCATTTGATTTAGCATTGTTCTCTCATGACTGAGCAGACATAAGGTGATGTCGTGTCTCAGTGCCTACAGAAAGATTGTCCATCTAGTACAAAATGGATCATGTGCATGTTACATCCAGGAGATTCATGTCTTATAAAAGTACAAGTGAAAAGAACAGTGGTCAGGGTAGAATGATTAAAATATTGGTGAACACACTACTAACAATACACATTGTAATACAGTAAAAATAATTTTTGAACTATAATCGCCTTTATAATTGAAACATTTTGAACTATCTTTATGTTATCCTTTATTTGGTGGCCACATGATCGCACAGCCTTCCTTCTTGTCTCTGTCGCCATAGCATGGGGATTGGCTGCATAGTAGGTAGATGGGCAGTGTATGATGTCACACACAGCGGTGAATGTTCCCCTTTGTGTGTATTGCCGAAGCCACAAGCCGTGATTAATTAAACCATAAGCTGTGGTTAATATCAGTACAGATGAAACAATGTCTCTGGTTGTTACCTGTATCTATGAACCACAGCCATTTTACTGAAGATGAATTTCTCTTTGTTGTGTATACATGGCTTACTTGGGTCACCTGTTGGGAGCCGCTGTCAATCAACGCACGAGGACTGAGAGTGGGTATGGCAGCCAAACTGACTATAGGAAATTCCGGTATGCTGTGTGGTGGCACGGTGTCCTGTATCTCCTAATAGCAATCTAATCAGGCCAGAAAGGATCTGGTTCCATGGCATGGTCAGATTGTAATAGTGAAAGGGCAGCACTGGGATCACCAGGTATTTCCCTGCAACCAAACTAATAGAAACAAGAACAGGCTACACACGCACACACTTTTTTTTTTTCATGTACTTGCCGATACCAATTACCGATACTTTTTCTTAAAGGGACAGGTGACTGAATGATCTACAACTACATGTTATGTACTATGGATCATGATTGAACCTATTCATGTTAGCAGGTGAGAATTGTAAATCTATTGCTGGAGTGTAGTGGTGGTGTGTGCTGTATATATGTACTACATATACATTACAAATGTCCAGTACACTATAGCAATAGATTTACAGCCAGCCCTGTCCCAGCTTCCCTCACTCACAGTTTCACTCCAATCCCTGTTGCCTCACACGGTGCCTGTCGTAGTCGGAGGCACTGTGGGCAGCATTGCATCTCGGTGCTCAGCTTGTGGGAGGCGCTCACAATTCTGCCCTGCTAACATGAATAGGTTAATTTATGATCCATAGTACATATAGAGCACACATGTCCCATACACTGCAGTAATAGAGTTACAATGCTGCCCTAACATGAATAGGATAAATCATGATCCATAGTACATAATAGTGCATAACATGTAGTTGTACTATGGATCATTTAACCCATTCATGTTAGCAGGAGACAATTGTAAATCTATTGCTGCAGCGAATTGGGAATATGTACTGTACATGTACTACATATAGAATGCACTGCAGTAATAGATTTACAATTATCTCCTGCTAACATGAAGGGGTTAAATGGGTTAAATGATCCATAGTACAACTACATGTTATGTACTATGGATCATTAACCCCTTCATATTAGCAGTGCAGAATTGTAAATCTATTGCTGCAGTGCATTCTATATGTACATGTACGGTACATATAGAATACACTGCAGCAATAGATTCTTCTTGTTCACACACTAAGCCCAGGCCTCGTCTTACTTACTGTTGCCTCGATCACGGTGCCTCGCGATGTGCTGAACAATTTTCCTCACATGTGAGGACGTTGTCGGCGCTGAGCGGACGAGCGTCGCGTCACTGATGTGGGCGGCTCTACAGGTGGAGTTCACTGGGCAGTCACCGGCCACCTATATTAGGACCCCAACTGGAGCGCCACCCACAGCAGTGACGCAACGCTCCTCCGCTCAGCGCCGACGACGTCCTCACATGTGAGGAAAAGCATTCGGCAAGGTACAGAAAGAAAAAAAACAGCGCAAGCATCGGCGCATTTTGACAAGTACAAGTACTTGTCAAAATGCCCTGTATCGGTCCCGATACCGATGCTAGCTTCGGTATCGGGACATCCCTAATATATATACACAATATTATTTAGGTTTAACATACACTTTAATACCACTAGTATGAATTATTGTATAGCCAACAACTGTCCTAATCCCAGTTTATGATAGACTGAAAAACATCCCTACTATCAAATGACTATTACATAAACCCAACTAAATAGAGAAGGTTTTTATGTGCCAATACTATTACAAATAGCCATCTTTATTCAGATGAAGCAGCAACACAAAACCAAAAGGAGCTGCAAATATTTACAGAACAGAATAGAATGCAGATACTGCTGCGCTAGACTTCCCAGGTAAAAAGGCTTCATGCCATCGCTATAAAAAGCACAAAACTAGGAGGATGTGTTAACTATATCTTAATGCCGATTTATAAAAATACACAAACTGTTTGGGTTTGTGTGTGATACTCTAAACCTCGTACACATCCTGCCCCACTGGACATGCTACACACATAAAATGATTAACCTTTTATAATATTTTGCTATCTACATAATTTGTTTAAATTGTCACAACTCGGAACAAGTACAAAATGGTGTAGAAAGAAAATCTGACAAAGTCTTACAAAGTTGTTGTAGAAAGACAATCTCCTGAAGAAGTCCCACAAAGTGGGCATACATGGAAGATGTGATTTTTGGTGAAAGGGGATAAAGGCCACTTTACCAGAACATTGTCAGTCCATTTAGAGGAAGCAGAGACAGCATTTTCTGTGTCGCATGAATGTTAAGCCTGGCTTATTACACGGCTAAACACATGGAAATGTGGACAAACATGCCTAAGCTTAGGAACAATTAAATGCAGGAAAAAGTGATCTGGGAGGCATAAATGTTAGTTATACTTTCTAGGACTGCAACCAACTAATCGATCAATCAACAATAATGCACAATGAAAGTAATTGTCAACTATTCTCATTATTGATTAGATCTCCTAGCTCTCTCCTCTATGCTGGGAGGAGGGCACAGCATGCATTGGGCAGATGCAATAGCCAGCCTGCTATTGGCTAATGCAATTTGAAATGGCCAATAGCAGGCTGGCTATTGCACCAGCCCATCACCTGCTGTATTTACATTCAGCTGCCGTCTGCGGAATCTTGCCCCTGGCAGCTGTCATTCCCTGGCTGAAGATATTCAAGCACCATGTGCTTACAATACAATTATTGGAAAAACGTATAAAAGGTGGGAGAAAAAAACGGAATTTTCAGTTTTGGCCTGACAAATTCTGCTGCGGGAGGTGCAATGCAGTGCCATTCATTTCAATGGCACCCCAAATGCACCTCCCACTCACAGTGTGATCACCCGCACAGAACCACGATGCCGTGCGTTCCATGAGAAGTGCGATTGCAAAAAATGTGCATGCAGTTTTATTCTGAAGTAAACTTTATGTTTGCAACACTGCATTTGTGTATTTTATTTTAAATTAAAGACGGTAATTTTTTTATCCGATTAATATGTTGAGCGAAAAAATAAATCGGCCAACAAATTGATTATACAAATTATCATTAGTTGCAGCCCTGATACTTTCCAGATAACTTCTCCTATATTTAACCCAGGAGGCCCATGTGCATGGGGCCTTACATGAATGCAG